TTTGCCTACACCTATGTCCTGAATGGTTTTGCCTAGATTTTCTTCTAGGGTTTTTATGGTATTAGGTCTTATGTTTATGTCTTTAATCCATCTGGAGTTAATTTTAGTGTAAGGTGTCAGGAAGGGGTCCAGTTTCTGCTTTCTGCACATGGCTAGCCAGTTTTCCCAACACGATTTATTAAACAGGGACTCCTTTCCCCAATGCTTGTTTTTGTCAGGTTTGTCAAAGATTGGATGGTTGTAGATGTGTGGTGTTGCCTCCTATGCCTCTGTTCTGTTCCATTAGTCTATACCTCTGTTTTGGTACCAGTACGAATGCTGTTTTGATTACTGTAACCTTGTAGTATAGTTTGAAGTCTGGTAGTGTGATGCCTCCCTCCTTGCTTTTTTGCTTAGAATTGACTTGGCTATGTGGGCTCTCTTTTGGTTCCATATGAAGTTTAAGGTAGTTTTATCCAGTTCTGTGAAGAAGGTCATGGGTAGCTTGATGGGGACAGTGTTGAATCTGTAAATTACTTTGGGCAGTATGGCCATTTTCATGATATTCTTTCTAACCAAGAACATGGAATGTTTCTCCAACTGTTTGCGTCCTCTCTTATTTCCTTAAGCAATGGTTTGTAGTTCTCCTTGAAGAGGTCCTTTACATCCTTTGTTAGTTGTATTCCTAGGTATTTTATTCTCTTTGTAGCATTTGTGAATGGCAGTTCATTCTTGATTTGGCTCTAAGTCTGTTATTGGTGTATAGGAATGCTTGTGATTTTTGCTCATTGATTTTATATCCTGAGACTTTGCTGAAGTTGCTTATCAGTTTCAGGAGATTTTGGGCTGAGATGATGCGGTCTTCTAGATATACAATCATGTCATCTGCTAATAGAGACAATTTGACTTCCTCCTTTCCTAACTGAATACCCTTTATTTCTTTTTCTTGACTGATTGCTCTGGCTAGAACTTCCAATACTATATATTGAATAGGAGTGGTGAGAGAGGGCATCCTTGCCAGATATGAAAGGGAATGCTTCCAGTTTTTGTCCATTCAGTATGATATTGGCTGTGGGTTAGTCGTAAATAGCTTTTATTATTTTGAGATACATTCCCTCAATACCTAGTTTATTGAGGGTTTTTAGCATAAAGCGTTGTTGAATTTTGTCGCAGGCCTTCTCTGCATCAATTGAGATAATCATGTGGTTTTTGTCTTTGGTTCTGTTTATGTGATGAATTACATTTATAGAGTTGCGAATGTTGAACCAGCCTTGCATTCCCGGGATGAATCCTACTTGATCATGGTGGATAAGCTTTTTGCTGTGCTGTTGCAATCAGTTTGCCAGTATATTATTGAAGATTTTTGCATCTATGTTCATCACAGATATTGGCCTGAAGTTTTCTTTCCTTGCTGAGTCTCTGCTGGGTTTTGGTATCAGGATGATGTTGGTCTCATAAAATGATTTGGGAAGGATTCCCTCTTTTTGGATTCTTTGGAATAGTTTCATTAGGAATGGTGACCTTTTTGTATGTCTGGTAGAATTCGGCTGTGAATCCATCTGGACCTGGGCTTTCCTTGGGTGGTAGGCTCTTAATTGCTGCCTCAACTTCAGATCTTGTTATTGGTCTATTCAGGGTTTTGGCTTCTTCCTGGTTTAGGCTTGGGAGGATGCAAGTGTTCAGGAATTTAACCATTTCTTCCAGGTTTATGAGTTTATGGGCATAGAGATGTTTGTAATAATCTCTGATGATGGTTTGTATTTCTGTGGAATCTGTGGTGATATCCCCTTTATCGCTTTTTATTGCAACTATTTGATTATTCTCTCTTTTCTTTTTTATTAATCTGGCTAGTGGTCTATTTTGTTGATCTTTTTGAAAAACTAGCTCCTGGATTTATTGATTTTTTGAAGGGTTTTTTGTGTCTCTATCTCCTTCAGTTCTGCTCTTAGTTATTTCTTGTCTTCTGCTACATTTTTAGTATTTTTGGTCTTGCTCCTCTAGCTCTTTCAATTTTGACGATAGGGTGTCAATTTTAGATCTTTCCTTGCTTTTCATGTGGGCATTTATTGCTACATATTTTCCTCTAGACACTGCTTTAAATGTGTTCCAGAGATTCTGGTATGTTGTGTCTTCTGCGTTTCGAAGAACATCTTTATTTCTGCCTTCATTCAGTTATTTTTTAGTTTATATCTCTTGGCAGAGATTCCACACCTATTCATTATTAAGTTCCTAAACACATTTATAATAGCTGTTTTATGGTTATTGTCTGCAAGACCAACATCTGGGTCACCTTGGGGTCAGTTTCCACATTTTCTTTTAATTGTGGGTCCCATTTTGTTGCTTCTTCAACTATCGAGTAATTTTGTTCTACTGGAAATATTGATCACTGTAATAGATTGTAGAGGCTACGGATTCTATTATCTCCCTCTGAAGAGTGTTGATTTTTGTTCTAGAAGGAGTTAACTTTGCTGAACTCAAACTCCAAACTCTGTCTCCTCTGTGCTGGAGAGGAGTTGAATCTCTTCTCAGTTCTTTCAGCCTGTCAGCTGTTTTCTACCAGGGTCCTTGGAGTTTCCCTCACACAAACACAGTTTAGGGAGCAGCCAACTGTATTTGGGTCAAGTTTACACATAGATTTTGAGACTCCTTCCTATGCAACCCCCTCTTTTCCACGATTTCCCCCTTCACTTTACAGTCTTGCTAATAGTCCTGAACTCTGTCCTCTGACTCCTCAAACTAGTAAAACTGCAGCTTTCTCGTTTTAGGGAGTGGTATTAGGAAAAAAGGTACAGAAACACAAATATAACATAGTGATGTTTCCCTGTTTCAAGGACTAATTCTCTTGTTTCTGCCTGCTTTTAGTCATTCATTCTCTAGTGCCTTCAAGTAGTTGGTTTTTATTCATATTTAGTCCAGTTTTAATAACAGTTATCTGTAGCATCATCATCAATACTGGAAATGCCAATTAGGTTTTTAAATCTGATATTTTTATTAAATATAAAGATTATTTTGCCCCTCTATGCCCTGACATATTCATCTCTCCTAATCCATACACAGAGCAGACCACACAGTCTCTCTGAATTATTACTTCCATTTCTGAAGAAATTTCTCTATGGCATAATGAAAATAATGTGGCCTTTGAAATCAAGAAATTATTTATCAACTGTATGAACTTGGAGAGATTATTTACCCCTTTGTGCTTCTCCACTTGTATTATGAAAATGGTCATTTAAATCTCACAGGGTTGTTAGAAATATTAATTACTTATGTCACAAAGCATATAGTAAGTGTTAAAAAGAAAATAAAAACTTTTGGTTCCTTTCCCTTAGACCTCTTCCTCCATCCCAGTAGTGGATATGGTAGAAGGAATTCCTAACACACAACCACCTTTTTCTATAATAGTTACTTTAATATTCCATTAACTTTAATGTTCCATTAGTAACATTTAATTAAGTTTACTTTATAAGGAGGAAAGAACGAGAGAGAGAGAAAAAATCCCATTTTATGAACAAGCATGCACTAGAAGCAGGGACTGTTGAAGGAGACACTGAACACAGGGAGGATTCATTCCCCCACCATATCTCTGGGCAACCAAGTGTGAAAGCAGGAAGACATACAGCAATGCAAAAAGCGTTATCATCACAGAATTTCTCTATGTGTGAATGAGAAAGTCTTTCCACGGATATGATAAATATATAATATATCACAGTAATCTTATAAGCAAAACTGCTAAGAAAAGGCAAACTTGAAAAGGTAAATTCAAAAAATTTTAAAGCTTAAATATGTATTTAATGAATTTTTAAAAAATTTACTGTGCTTTTCCTGTTTCTAAAAAGTTTGTTTCTTGAAAAGAAACGAACACGTTGGAATTGTACAGGACTATATCTTGTAAATTTTATAATTAATGTCTTTATCTGAGTCATTACTTCAAATGTTATCTAACAAAGGACTGAAGATGAGTCTTATGAATCAATATAAGAGAATGCCTTCAGATTGCCACAATTCACAATCACTGTTCTTTAAATATAGATATGCTGTCACCTAATCACATCATCTACCCAATTCATATTTTTCCATCTTATCTCAGGTATATAACAGAAGTCATATATTTCACTAATGTCCAGCTGCACCATTTTTACAGAACTTGAGCTGTTTCCAGTACTCTATTACAGAGGCATAATCAGGGGTCAGTTGTTCTAAGTGGTTTTCTTAGAGCTGCTCCAAGGAAATCAAAGTGGAGACAAGGCTCCAACAAACAGGGTGGAACTGAGGGGAAACTGGCTGTTCTAGGAAAATAAGAGTCAGAACTGATAATTATAAGACTCATATGATTCCATAATCACACAGGGCTAAGATGATATATACTCAGCTTACACCACTAACAGTAAGCTGAAGAAGAGCCACAGCAAAACTGACATACTTAAATAATGATTCAGTACATCTTACTAACATAATACTTTTATGTTATTGATTGTTTTAGAAGTTAACACAGTAGTGTCTATAAATATGATCATCTTTCTACATCTATAAGCAATGGAGAAGAAAAGAGGCCTTCTCTTGGGTTTCTTAGGTCTACACTAGTGCAAACCAGAGGTTAGCAGCATTATTCTATAAAGAACCAGATAGTAAATATTTAATCTTGCAGGCCACACAGTCTCTGTTGTCATTGCTCAACTCTTATTATAGCATGACAGCACCACAGACAATAGGTTAATTGAATAGATATGGCTGTGTTACAATGCCAATTTATTTACAAAACCAGGTGGTGGGCTAGATTCGGTCTATGGGCTGTTTCCTGACCACTAGGTAAACAATGAGAGGTAAGTATCTAGTGCAAAATGATACTAAATAATGTCTTGAACGCATTCCCAATTTTCAAATGATGAGGAAAAAATACATGGATCAGTGCAATTCTGTTTTCCTATGTTAATAATATAGAAATCACAATTTCATATTCCATGAACTCAATATATAGTTGAACCAATTTTTCTATGTATCATCACAACCTGAGAATTACTTACCTGTGCATAATCGCCAAAAGGTGGAGAATAAGCAATGCACTTTTCCAATGTGTGTTGTGATTCATTTCCCTGAGAGATTACATCCAGAATGCTGCTTGCAATTGCAGTCTTATGAAGAGTGGTTTTACTTGCAGGGGCTAAAGGCAGAATCGACAAGTTTATTTACTTTATTAAAAATTTATTTGTTCAGGTTATTTTAAATAAATTATTATAAACATTTTTAACATAAATTATATTTTATTATAAATTATAACAGCTTATTATCAAACACAACAAAATTTTAGTTTACCAATATATAACTAAACAGATATATTTTCCCCCTGGGAAAATACAGTATATGATACTGTCTCATTCATTTGAAACAACTTAAAATGGACACTTGTTCTATGGGTAAATAATTTTGGTGGAAAGGTTAAAAAACATACATGTCTGGCTGGGCACAGTGGCTCATGCCTGTAATTCCAGCACTTTGAGAGGCTACAGTGGGAGGATCACTTGAGCCCAGGAGTTCAAGACTGGCTTGGTGAAACCCCATCTGTACAAAAAATACTAAAAATAGAAAAACTAGCCAGGAATGGTGGTACATGAGTGTAATCCCAGCTACTTGGGAGGCTGAGACATAAGAATTGCTTAAACCCAGGAGGCCGAGGTTGCAGTGAGCAGAGATGGAGCCACTGCACTGCCTGGGTGACAGAGCAAGACTCTGTCTCACACAAAAAAATAATAATAATAAGCTGGACATGGTGACACATGCCTGTAGTCCCAGCTACTCAGGAGGCTGAGGCAGGAGGATCACTTGGAGGCGGAGGCTGTAGTAAGCCAAGATCACACCACAGCACTCCTGCCTGGGAGACAGAGTGAGACCTTGTCTCAAAAAACAAAACAAAAAAAAAAAAAAAACAAAACAAAATACGTGTGTGTGTATGTGTTCTCTAAAACAAGGCATACAAAATGTAAACTAATCACTTATTAATGCGATAATTATCACCATCAACTTTTAGACCAGATTAATACATAACAGGTATACTAGAAGTGCATTTACATCTTTTTCCAGCTCAAAAAAATTACAAATTAACGTTTGGTTTCAAGGATATTTCATAAAATACAGAGGATGTATATTAAAAATGAAATCCATCTTTCACCTCTTTTCATATAATACTATTCTTCCCAGAGGAAATAGTTTAGCATTTACTTTTTCAGTTTTACTTCATGCATTTACACACTCAAGTATATAGATGTAAGGATATATAACTTAAACATAAATGGAATCATTTTATGTGTATATTTGCCAAAATATGCTTTAGAGTTCATGTTATATCCGTATACATAGATATCCCTCAAATATTAAAAAAACAGTTGCGCAGTATTCAATTTTATGATAAACTATTTAAGCATTCCCCTATTAACAATTATTAAGTATTTTCCAGTTTTCCACTATTTACAATCAATGTTGCAGTGAACACCCTTGTGCCTGGAGCACATCGCCTTTGTGATTTTCTCTTAAAACAGTATTTGAATGAATAGTTGATTTACAGTAATTGAAGGCTTGAGGGGGGTCCTCCAAAAAGCAAGTGAGAATTCAACTCCCATCAATTACTGGTAACGCATACATTTTGGGAGTATCCAAATACTCAAGATATATTGGATTACTTATAGGTTTAAACTTCTGGTTAAGAAAAATGATTGTATATGAGTTGTGATGTTTTCCTTAAATAAAATATCATGTATTTTTAGTGTCTTAGTTTTAATTATTCTTTCAATTTAAAGAATAATGTAGGCTTTAACTTGGTCAATAGGTATTATTTGCTTCCACTAAGTCAAAAATTAAAGTAAAACTTACTATAAAAAGTATTCGATAAAACTCCACAACAAGAATACTGAGCCCCCACTTACATGATAAGCACATGCTGGGCAACACACTTGCCAAATTCAAGTATGGATTTTTACTGAGCCGAATTTCTTTTGGTGGTTCTCCCAAGAGTGAAGTCTGATTCTTAGAGGCAGCCTATTTAACAAAAACAAGCAGGGGGTACTTACTGAGAGGTACCTGAAAATAAAAGTGAAGAATATAGAAATACTTATTTTCAATACATCTAGTGTACTTACAAAATATTTAAGGATGTTGACTAAAATTATCATATTTCACCTGCTATTAGTTGTTCAAATAGGTTTTTTAAAAACTATGCTAGAGCCATAGAACTTCAGAACTAAAAGAGAATGAAAGGACATCTTGTACAACATTCTCACTTGAATCAGGAAGGAATTCATCTTCACAAGAAAAATCAAATTCCATATCTCTTTTCCAGAAATACTAATATATATATTTATGTGTATATGTGTGTGTGTGTGTGTATGTGTATATATATATATATGAGATGGAGACTCACTCTATTGCCCAGGCTGGAGTGTAATGGTGCAATCTTGGCTCACTGAAACCTCCACCTCCCAGGTTCAAGGAATTCTCCTGCCTCAGCCTCCTGAGTAGCTAGGATTACAGACACACAACACCATGCCTGGCTAATTTTTTTGTATTTTTAGTAGAGATGGGGTTTCACCATGTTGGCCAGGCTGGTCTCAAACTCCTGACCTTCGTGATACCCTTGCCTTGGACTCCCAAAGTGCTGGGATTACAGGCATGAGCCATCATGCCCGGCCTGTTATCAATATTTTTATTTAGATTTTTATTTTATATTTTATGACCAAATAACAAAAGCAAAGTTTTTAACCTCTGGTACTAAAAATAATATCAAACAAAATTAATGAGTTTAATACACTCCAACTCCACATTTAGATAGTGCTAGAAACACACATTTCTTGAAAATGTGTATCAGTATATTTTTATGTAATTAGTTAGGTGTAACGATTCTAGTACAGTTGACCCTTGAAACAACATGGGGGTTAGGGATGCCAACCCACTACACAGTGGAAAATCTGTATAACCCTTAACTACCCAAAAAATGAACTACTCATAGCTTACCAATAGCAAACAATCAATACACAGTTTGTATGTTACATGTATTATATACTGTATTTTTACAATAAAGGTGGAGAAAAGAAAATGAGAAAACCATAAAGAAGAGAAAATACATTTACAGTATTATAGTGTTTATCAAGATGAATAATTATGTCTTCTGTTTACAAGATGGATCTGTCTGAAATGCTGGACAACAGCAGCTGCAGACCTCAATCTGTGGTACAGTCAAGCAATTTGACTTTTTCTTATGATGTCATGACACTGCTTCTTGAGCACTTCTAGTATCACTAGTGGCATTTTGTACAGATTCCAGGATGTTATTCAAGGTTTGTGGTATTGCACTAAACATGATGAAAAATATGCAAGCATTATCAGACATCACTTTTTACCGCAATAATTAATTTACTGGAGAGATGAATGGCATACATGGAGATGATTAGCAACACATAGCATTTTAAATGGCTACTCTCGACACTTGAGCTCACTGCAATAGGAACAGGAGGTAGCTACAAAATTATCACAGTAGTACAGTATATACTACAGTTAATACTGCAGTATATATTGCAGTTATGATTTGATGCTGCATCTTTATGTTGGTTTACGTTTCACTTGACTGCAAATGGTGCCATTTATGGTCTGTAAGTATGTATGTTACTTTTGACAAATTTTACCTTTTTTTTTTTTTGAGACGGATTCTTGCTTTGTCACCCAGTCTGGAGTGCAGTGGTGCCATCTCAGCTCACTGCAACCTCTGCTTCCTGGGTTCAAGCGATTCTTGAGCAGCTGGGACTACAGGTGTGTGCCACCACACCCAGCTAATTTTTGTATTTTTAGTAGAGATAGGGTTTCACCATATTGGCCAGGCTGGTCTTGAACTCCTGACCTTGTGGTTCACCCGCCTCAGCCTCCCAAAGTGCTGGGATTACAGGCATCAGCCACTGCGCCCGGCCAAATTTTAACTTTTTAATATTAGGTTTGTGTGTATGTTATCGTAGTAAATTAAAAAATAAACTAATATCTACATATATTTTATGCATTTGTGACATACATAATTATCATTTTCAATATTTCTAGGCTATGGGGTTCATTTGTGATTTTTTTCAAATTTCCAAAAAATCTTCCACTATATTTATTGGAAAATACCCAAGTATAAGTGGACCTGTGCAGTTAAAATCCGTGTTGTTCTAGGGTCAACTGTATATAGAAAACTCCTAAAAACTAAACAATGACAACAAAAATGAACCTGATTTAAAATGGGCAAAAACTTTAATAGACATTTCTCCAAAGAAAATATACAGACGACCAATAAGCACACACAAAAATACTCAACATCACTAATCATTAGGGAAATGCAAATCAAAACCACAACGAGATACCACCTCACACCTATTAGGCTGGCTGTGACTATGAACTGAATGCTTGTCTCCCCAGAATTCGTATGTTGAAATCCTAAGCCTCAATAGGATGGTCTTAGAAGGTGAGGCCTTTGGGGGGTAATGAGGTCATGAAAGTAGAGCCCTCAAGAGTGGGATCAGTGCTCTTATAAGAAGAGACATGAAAGGGCTTGCTCCAGCTGTGTACCATGTAAAAATGGAATGAAGAGACAGTCATCTGCAAACCAGGAACAGTATCCTCATCAGATGCTGAATTTGCTGGCACCTTCTCTTAGAATTCCCAGCCTCTCAAACTGTGAGAAACAAATGTTTGTTGTCTAAACCACCCAGTCTATAGTATTTTTGTTACAGACAGCTAAAACAGAAACAACTGTTGGCGAGGATATTGGAAAATGAGAATCCCTGTGCACTGCTGGCGGGAATGTAAAATGGTGCAGCTGCTGTGGAAAATAGGATGACAGTTCCAGCAAAAATTACACATGCATTATGATATAATCCAGAAATTCCAATTCTGGGTATATACCCCCAAAGAACTGAAAGCAGGGACTCAGATACTGATGTTCACAGCAGCATTATTTACAATAAACAAAAGGTAGAAACAACCCACACATCCATGGATGGCTGAATTAAAACATGGCATATGTGCGCAATGGAATATTATTAGGCCATAGAAAAGAAGGAAATTCAGATACATGCTACAACATGGATGATCCTTGAAAACATTATGCCAAGTGAAGTAAGCCACACAGAGAAGGACAAATGGACACGTATTTTGTCACCTAGGTACCTAGAATAGCCAAATTCATAAAGACAAAAAGTAGAAACAGTGGTTACCTGGGCTAGTGGAAGGGGGAAATGAAGAGTTATTATTTAATGGGTACAGGTTTCAGTATGAGATGATGAAAAGGTTTTGGAGATGAAGAGCAACAATGTTGCACAACAATGTGAATGTACTTAATCCCACAGCACTCTACACTTAAACATGCTTAAAACGGCAAATTTTATGTTATGCATATTTTACCACAGTAAACAGAAACTGTGAGTGCCATGCCTGTCTTCCTGAATAAAATTCTCAAAGGTTGTGGAGTTGGAGTCCAAATCTCTCCTTTTTTTTTTTTTTTTTTTTTAGCACTAGAGGTGATTCTGGAAACAAAAAGGTAGACTTAAGACTTATTGGTCAACACAATATTAAAGATGCAGGTCTAACCATCTAAAGCAAATTTTTTCAGCCAAGTCTAAAATCTCATGATTAGAAAACACTGAGGTTACCTGGTGCAACTCCTACTGACAGAAAGAGGAATAATTTCTATTAACACAACATCCTTTACAGATGCTCGCCTGGGATCTGCTTAATTGCTTTTGGTGATATGGCATTCACGTCTCTGTGAAACAGTTAAACTTTCTCTTTGCTTAAAAGCTTGAATTGTTCTTTCTTATATTAAGCCTAAATCTGCTTTATTGTATGTTATAGTTAATAGCTAGTTCTGCTCACTGGAGGTACAAGCAATACCGTATGACTACTCTTTGAATAGGTTTAACAATGTCTATGTTTGGTTGTCCCTTTCCAGGTTCCATATATCCATTTCCCCTGAATTATTCTTCACAGGACTCATTTTCCAGAACCTGCCCCCATTTTGGCTGTCCTCTTGTAGACAGGCTCATTTGCCCATTATGTGAATCACAGTTCTTCTAAAGACTCATGATGCTTTCAATGAATTAAAGATTGCAAAGAGATACGAAGTATTCATATATGAATTTTATTTGTGTAATTTCCCTCAGTAACCCAAGAAATGAATACTGCAGATAAATTTTTAAAATTCATTCTATAAAGAATTGCCACTTGCGTGCAGTGGCTCACACTGGTAACACCAGCACTTTGGGAGGCCGAGGTGGGCAGATCACCTGAGCTCAGGAGTTCGAGGCCAGCCTGGCCAACATGGTGAAACCTCATCTCTACTAAAAATACAAAAATTAGCCGGGCATGGTGATGGCATGCACATGTAATTCCAGCTACTTGGGAGGGTGGCAGGGAACCACTTAAACCCAGGAGGCAGAGGTTGCAGTGAGCCAAGGTCGCGCTGCTGCACTCCAGCCTGGGTGACAGAGTGAAACTCGGTCTCAAAAAAAACCAAAAGAATTGCCTTAGCTTTCTCAAAGTACAATTGCAGTGCATTCTAGTCATACCTCTTGTTATGACTAGGTAACACTAAAGTGTCTTACAAATTCAGTACTATTATTTTGACTTCTGAATACAAGAAACTACATCAGTTTTTCTCCTTACAAACTACTTATGCCTAAGTTTTATACCACTTACGAACCAAAGTATTTTAGGGTAAAAATATAATAAAAATTAGATGTACTTTAGTCAACCTACTTATTATAACATTTACAAATATCAGTGGTATATAAATCAATACAATGATTGGGTAAAAACTTCCAGAATTAAAAGAAAGACCAGATTCATTTGAACAAATCAGAGCTTAACAGCTGGTTTTAATATTTTTCAGATAAAATTGGTTCTGCCTTTAAATATTAAAATACTTTGATTGGCTATAGAATACATATTTTAGAAAAAAGTATATTTTAAAGAACAGCATTACTATGTACTTAGCCTTATAAATAACATTATTTTGTTCTTACAAGGAATAAAGAATCCACATTTAAATTATTTATGAGACATAACTCATTTTACACAAATATATTTACACATCTGTGTGCACACACTGTTTTCTTACCCCTGAACTTATCTCTGTGCCTTTTGGCTGGCTTTGCTGCTGTTTATGGTGTCCCGCATGCAAGCTTCCAGCAGCAAGGTTTGGAAAGCTCTGAAGATAAGGCTGCGACCCTGAGAAATTTCCTTCTGCCATTCCTACCATGGTTGGCTGTTTCTCCTGAGTATTACTGTGCCCTGGCCCAGCCTGTCCAGCAATGTGCTGATTTGCAAAGAATGGTAACATGCCCATTCCAGCTGTTATCGTTGTTTGAGTTGGAATCAGGCTAGTTGCTGTAGCAAACCACAAATGCAAAAAGCTTTTAGTTAGAAAATATTTATTCACAATAGTCCTTTTGATTTTGTTAAGTTATGAGCAAAATGCAGAGAAACCAATTCTGTACCTGTTAGATAACAGCAAAAGGTAAGGTTAGAGTTGTTAATTAGAAGTTTCCTTTATGGAAAAAAAACAAAAACCTACCTACAATGGTAATGATGCTCTTATTTTCAGCAATTTTCAGGGTAACCTCAATGATATAACATTTTTAAGTTTTAAAATTCTACATATAATTTTTAATTACCTATTGTTAAAGTTGAGAGCAAAGTTTGTGTAATTTTTGGCATTTAAGATATATTAGTGCTTTTTTAAATGCCTAGTCATTGCAATTTAACTGCTTCCGTAACTCAAGGAAATAATTAAATTTTAAGTTTAAAAAGTTATCTGAAATTAAAATTCAATAAAGTTTGATTAAATCCAATAATAAATTTGGTTAGCTGACTTCCATCAGCTCATAAGAGCTAATAATACATATTATATCACAGCTATCAAGTTCAGTGTTGTCATACTGAAAACTTGAAATCAGTCACAGAGTATTCACATGTAGAAATGCACAAATGCTACAAATCAAGACCTTTTTTCAATCTAGAGAGACGACTGTTAAACACTTATCAGAATATCACTGGTTTCTTTTTTTAAATCCACATTTAAAAATAAATACTATATTTAATACACGAAAGTTTTATGTTTTTATTTATAGAAAATAACAAGAAATTCTGGAATAAATAAAAGGGTTTTTTTTGGTTTATTTTTGAGTCAGGGTCTCACTCCCATTGCCAAGGCTGGCATGCAGTGGCACAATCATGGCTCACTGCAGCCTCGACTTCCTAGGCTTAGGTGATTCTCCCACCTCAGCCTCCTGAGTAGCTGGGACCACAGGCATGTGCCACCATGCCTGGCTAATTTTTTTGTATTTCAGTAGAGGCGGGGTTTTGTCATGTTGCCCAGGCTGGCAAATAAAAGTTTTAATAGGAAAATTCTGAACTATACCACTTTTTAAAAAATTCATAGGTCAAAATTAAATGGAAAAAGCTAATTGACAACTAAGTCAGATTTACCATCTTACAAATTTACTAAACAAATTTCTTCAATTATTTTTAGTAATATTCATTTAGAGATGGATACTTTGGTTCCCCTAAGTTTTAGCAATATAGTTATTTGGACACTGACTTTTCAGTGTTCTTAAAGCAGCATATACTAAAGCAAATAGTTTATTATTTAATCTAACACAAATAATACACATTTAAATAAGCTTTTAGACATAGAAAATTTAATTTTTTGGAAAGACATACCCCATCATGTCACAAAATTTCTTTACTGGCTTAACTTCAGTCCAGTCAATTTCAACAGTCAGAACTAAGTTATTTGACCACTGGACAAAAGGTTCAGTAAGCTACTCGTATTTAATTGACTTTTTTTTTTTTTAATTACTGGTGGCCCTTCTGTTTTTACTCAGCATGCACACTTCTAAGCAAATTTCAACTAAGCTTCAAACTGAAAATGCCTTTCAAAATGACATTCAAATAAGAAGGCTTAGTATAACACCCTCCTCCTGTTTTCGTACCAAAACACTTTTTGTTTGCCATGTTTTTAGAAGCACATAATATACAGATTAGTTTTCTTTGACTACTGATTTAGAGGTTATATTTTTTAAATAATACAAATAATCAAACTTTAAATTAATAAATACTAGATTTTTAAAAACAAAAGTGAAGGGTTTCTTATCCAGGCAACAATTAAATGGATCCGTATGTGCTGTCAGCCCAGTGAGCAGCATATCAGTCTCAAATGGATCTGTGTCTTTACCTTGAACTGCTAAGAACCTGCATAAAATATTAAAGAATATCCAACAGGGAAAGTCTTATCTTAGCACGGAAGCAAGTCCATCAGTAACTTACCCATATTAAAAACAGAAAAGCCAAGACGGTTCTCAAAATTTTAAACAACTAAATAAAACTCAAATTTGACCTCCCTGTAAATAAAAGTAGAACATTGGTAAACTATCTTTAAATCTCAAACCTGACTGTTTACTGACTTCTCAGTAAATACACATCATTTACTTTTATGTGCTTCTCCATGATGATGTCCCAACTCCTTTTTCAATGGAAGCACTGACCCTATCCCTAGTGCAGTCTGAAGTACCACAGCTGGGGGCTCTCCAAGTAAGCCTGGTTTCTACAAAAGAAGAAAAAAAAGTAAGATTTTGCCCATGGCCATAAGATATAACCTTAAAAAAGCTACACATGTGAACATTTGTAAACAACCTGATCCACAGCCTGATTCTAGAAAAGAAATAAACTGATTTTTTTTTTTTTGAGACGAAGTTTCGCTCTTGTTACCCAGGCTGGAGTGCAATGGCGCAATCTCGGCTCACCGCAACCTCCGCCTCCTGGGTTCAGGCAATTCTCCTGCCTCAGTCTCCTGAGTAGCTGGGATTACAGGCATGTGCCACCATGTCCAGCTAATTTTTTGTGTTTTTAGTAGAGACGGGGTTTCACCATGTTGACCAGGATGGTCTTGATCTTTTGACCTCGTGATCCACCCGCCTCGGCCTCCCAAAGTGCTGGGATTACAGGCATGAGCCACCGTGCCCGGCCAGAAATGAACTGATTTTAAGAGAAAAAAATGATACCATACTTACATTATTAGTATGAATATTCTCAAACTTCATTAATTGCTGTTGTGCCAGTGGTATATGAGAAAGATTCTGAAGGAATAAATTAGAAGTATTACCCATAACTGAGCTCTGTGAAAATGATAAAGCATTGTTAGTTTAGTCTTGAAAAGCTACTTGTTGTATAACCCAATTCATTTTAAAATTCAATTCTCCAGTCGATCTGAGTAAAAGTAATTGCTTCTAAACACAATATTTCACTTTCCAACTTATCAGGCAAAGCTAATTATTTCTGTTAATAGTATACAAAAAGGGGCCATGCAGTCATGAAATAAATTCTATATTCTTTCACCCTTCTTCCCCGCCTCTCACCCCTTTTTGGTTTCAATGACAGTGACATTCTATTCATTCATTCATTTATTTATTCACTTAATCATTCAACAAAGATTTATTGAGCCCTTTTTTCTTTTTTGAGACGGAGTTTCGCTCTTGTTACCCAGTCTGGAGTGCAATGGCACAATCTCGGCTCACCGCAACCTCCGCCTCCTGGGTTCAGGCAATTCTCCTGCCTCAGCCTCCCGAGTAGCTGGGATTACAGGCACGCGCCACCATGCTCAGCTAATTTTTTGTATTTTTAGTAGAGACAGGGTTTCACCATGTTGACCAGGATGGTCTCGATCTGTTGACCTCGTGATCCACCCACCTCGGCCTCCAAAAGTGCTGGGATTACAGGTGTGAGCCACTGTGCCTGGCCCGATATATTGAGCACTTTCTATGTGCCAGGCACTGTGCTACTTAGTGAGAAATACAATAAGATCTGCCCTCATAGATCTTAAAATTCCCTAAGGAAGGGAGCCATTAGTTAATCAAAAAACGTATGATTACACATGGTGATCACATGAAGGAAAAATACAGGGGGCTATGAGAATAGTGAAGGAATTTTATTTAGCCTGGAAGATTCAAGGAAGGTTTTTTTGGAGGAACTAATTCCTGTACTGTGATCTGAAGGCTGTAGTTGAAATCTTGGGAGAATTAGGTGATGATGGGGTGGAAGTATTCCAGGAAGGAGGAGCAGCAGAAGCAAAGACCAAAGGAAGAGAAAACAAGGTCCTTCGAGGACCAAAGCCAGACTGTTGTAGTGAGACAGTGATGTGCACTGAGTTGAGAGGCAGGAGGGGCCAGCTCAAATGTATGGGCCTTAAATACACAATCAGCATTTTTGTCTTTCTCTTAAAACACAGTGAATATTATCAATACTCTGAACTTACCCTCTCATATCACTCTTCACTCCTGAATGTAATTAACTGTTTAATATGTTTTCCCTACTGTTTGAAATTATATAATAACATAGACTTGAAATGTCACATTCCACATCATAGCCTCAATGATGACCACAACATCTAATACACATATGTCAGATACTGAAAATACATTGAGTGAATGAATGAATAAAAACTCTATAATGTATCACCAAGTCCTGTGTTAAATTCTAAAGATGAAAAATAAAAGCTGGATTTAGGACCAGACATTCATTCATTCAACTTACATTAAACATCTATTACATATTGTTTGATTTGCAATTATGATTCTATATTCTTAAACAGCACCTGAAATTAATGAGTAATGTTTACCTCTAATATTATGGATATTTAAATCTATAAACACACATTTAAAATACTTATCTAAAAAGGTAGGAACCATATACTCTATTCTCACAGGGTTTTTTTTATAATATTCATTAAATTTTAAGAATTAAGCATTACTGTTCATTTATATTTTCTTTCTAGAAAGATTTTTTTGAGTTAAGACCACATAAGAAGCTCTGTTTTGAACAACTGATTTATTATCTAGAAAAAATGTAACACTTTCCTTCTTAATGCCATACAAATTGGAATCAATAATACTTATTGTGGTATATAATTAAACTGCTTTGATTAGCTTAACTGAATTTGATGTACTCATTATGATTTTACATAGCTATATTTATTAAAGATTTTCTTTAAAAGCAAAAGACTCATTTAATTTCTTGAGAACTTTAAGTGTTAAGAACAAACAAAATATTCACTCCAATTTTTTTTTTAGACAACAGAGTCTCACTCTGTTGCCCAGGCTGAAGTGCAGTGACACAATCAGCCCACTGCAATCTCTGCCATGCTGCCCACCCCGCCCTGGGTTCAAGAGATTCTACTGTCTCAGCCTCCTGAGTAGCTGGATCTACAGGTTTGCGGGACCATGCCGAGCTAACTTTTGTATTGTTAGTAGAGATGAGGTTTCACCATATTGGCTAGGATGGTCTCAATCTCTTGACCTTGTGATCTGCTCACCTTGGCCTCCCAAAGTGCTGAGATTACAGGTGTGTGCCACCAGGCCCAGCCCAAATATTTAATGCTTCAGTACTCAATGTTATCTACCTACCTGATGTGCTTTATTCAAATGTAAAAATGCGGGAGAGATAGATGGATTCATCAGATGTGGCAAGCTGTGAGGTGTTCCAAGAGCTGCTTTGAGAAAATAAAAGTAAAAACTTTTATATATGGAATTAAAAATTTTAAAAAACAAGCTTCAAAAGGGTAAATGAATATTTCTTAAACTATTAACAAATCCACTGAAAGTTCAATGATACAGTGACCTTGTCATTCGTCAAAAGTGATAGGTATCTTTCCCTGAGATTCAACCCTGGAATTTGTTTTAAAATTCAAAAGCCTTCTGTCATAATTGTAAAATTCCACACCTAGGCTTAATCTTCTCTAGAATTTAGTGCAACAAAATATGTCCACCTTTTAATAAGCACAATACTCACTGAATTCATGTTACTCAGCTTTTTTTAGTTATTTCAGGGATTTTTGGCAGAGGGTAGGAGTAGGGGACAAGATAGAATCCTTGTTCTTAAAAAGCTTACACAAAATCCAACTGAGAAGACAATACATGTACACAAAAATATTTACATAATAAAATTAAAAGAAACTGCAAAATTGTACACAGAGATAAAAGGAATAAATGGTAACAATACTCATAATCAAGTCTAAGAGTCTAAATGTCAGAGTACATTTCACAAGGGATGCTTTCAGAATGGAAAGCTGGAGAGAGAAAAAAATTATGTTTCAAGAACTATGGTAGTACATCTGTTATATAATTCTAGTCTCATCAGTTGTTTGTTTTTTTTTTTTTTCTGTAATTTAGACTAACTCTGCTTATTCCTGTGAACCAACCAGTAATCTGGCTGTTGCTGAGAAGAAACAAGAGGAATGGTTAATGCAAAAGTCTGGATCAATATTCTAATCCTGGACATGTAGTGGAATCAGCTAGCAACCCCCTATCAGCTTGGTTTCCAACAGTTGCCCAGTTCATGGAAAGCCTTTTGATTTAGTTTACTTGGGATAATATTGCTTATTTTGCTCTACTGTTGTGGAATATATTGCTGTTATACTCTTTGTGTAGAAATGTAGGTTAAGCTTACTCAATGTTTTCTCTCTTTTTAAGAAAGAAATTGAGGATAGAGTCATGCTCTGTCACCCAGGCTGGAGTGGAGTGGCATGATCTCAGCTTACTCTGCAACCTCCACCTCCAGGGTTCAAGCGATTATTCTGCCTCAGCCTCCCAAGTAGCTGGGTAGGCGCACGCTAACACACCCAGCTAATTTTTTTATTTGTATAGAGACAGGGTTTCACCATATTGGCCAGGCTGGTCTTGAACTCCTGACCTCAAGATCCGCCTGCCTCAGCCTCCCAAAATGCTGGGATTACAGGTGTGAGCCACTGTACCCAGCCCTGAATGTTTTCTTAAATCAAACATTTATTAATCTTCCAGATATCACCTTTTGTTGGAACTCAAGGGTTACGAATGGCCCTCAATATACTGATACTTTCTAACTGAGCTCCTCTCTACTCTGAATATGAGAGACCCTAATTGGCAGAATATCATAGTCCCTATTCAGCTCTCAAGAAGTTATAGAAGATGGATCTTCATCCCTTTACAATCCTTAGGATTAAGGGTTCTCTTACAAAAGGGAGGGGGATGTGTCCAAGGTGTGTGAACCAGAGTGCCTCCATCTTGAATAGAAGCTAGGTAAAATAAGGCTGAGACCTGCTGAGCATTCCCAGTAAGTTAAGCATTCTAAGTCACAGGATGGGACAGGAAGTTAGAGCAACGTACAGGTCATAAAGGCCTTGCTAATAAAACAGACTGCAATAAAGAAGCTAGCTAGGAGACAGAGGATCCAAGATGGCCTATTAGGAGCAGCTCAGGATTGCAGCTCCCATGAAAGTGCAGAGGGTGAGTGGACGCCACAGTTCCAGATGGATTTTTATTGCCCACAGACCAGGAGATTCCCAGGTGGAGAAGCCCCATGGGTCACCAGTGCAGCAGGTCTCCGTTCAAAATACACAGGTCTGGGCACCATTTTAGCTGGCAATTGGAGCTCCTGGGAGGCAGAGTGGCCCCTTCAACTGATAAAAAGGGCACTGAAACTGGGAACCAGGCCAGGAGATTCCCAGGCAAAAAAGCACCAGGAATCCCCACCCGGCTGTTTCAGCCCACGTGGTGGGTTGCCGCATGGGAAATCACAGAGATCCCAGCACCTTTTCAACAGGCGACTGGAATGCCTGGGAGACAGAGTTGCCCATTCAACTGATAAAAAAAGAGATTGAAACAGGGAGCCTGGCCAGGAGATTCCCAGGTGAAAAAGCACCATGAATCTCCAGCACGGCTGTTTCAGCCTGCACAGGGGGTCACAGCTGGACGCCCTTTCAACAGGCGACTGGAACACCTGGGAGACAGAGTTGCCCATTCAACCGAAAAAAAAGGGGACTGAAACAGGGAGCCAGGCCAGGAGACTCCTGGGCAAAAAAGTGCCACGAGCCCCTAGTGAGGCTGTTTCAGCCAGCACAGTAGGTTTCTGCACAAAATCTCACACAAATCTAGGCGCCTTATCAATTGGTGACTGAAACGCCTGGGAGACAGAGTCGCCAATTCAGCTGAAAAAAAGGGGGCTGAAACAGGGAGCTAGGCCAAGAGACTCCTGGTGAAAAAGCACCACGAGTTTCCAGCAGCTGTTTCAGCCAGCAGAGAGGGCCTACCCACAAGAAATCACACAAATCTGGGTGCTGTTTCAACTGGTGACTGGGATGCCTGGGAGACATAGTCGCCTGTTCAACTGAAAACAAAAAACAAAACAGGAGTCTGAGGCAGGGAGCCAGGTGATCAGGCTCAGCCAGTCCCAACCCCACAAAAAGCAGCAATCTGAAATGCTCTGGATTGAGAGTTTCACAGCAAGCACAGCTGAACCCGGGAAGGTCCAGCTCTGTGGGGGAGGGGCGTTCGCTGTTATTGAGGCAGTCCACCACTACTGAAGTAGTCCACCATTGCTGAGGCAGCCCCCCTTTACTGAGGCAGCACGTCCTTACAGAGGTGGGCTGCCATTGCCAAGGCAGTTCTAACTATACCCCTATAAATAGGAAGCAGGGAACTTCACATGGCAGCTGGGCAGAGCTCACAGCAGCTCAGCAAAGCCTCTACAGGCAGACTGTGACTAGGCTGCCTCCTCGCTGGGCAGGGCAGCCCTGAAAAAAGGCAGCAGCACAACAGAAACTTATAAATAAATCCCTAACTCCCTGGGACAGAGCACCTGGGGGGAAAAATGCGGTTATGAGTTCTGCTGAAGCAGACTTAAACGTACCTGCTCAGGAGCTCTGAATAGGACAATGGAGCTCACAGGTCAGCACTTGAGCTCCTATAAAGGACAGACTGTCTCCTCAAGCAGCTCCCTGACCCCCATATATCCAAAGAGTCACTTCATAAAGGAGAGCTCACACTGATATCTGGCAGGTATCCTTCTGGGACAAAGATAGCAGAAGAAACTAGCAGCAACCCTTACTGTTCAGCAGCCACTGCAGGTGATACCCAAGCAAGCAGGAGTGGACCTCAGCAGTCCTACAGCAGAGGGGCCTGACTGTTAGAAGGAAAACTAAGGAACAGAAAGAAATAACTTAATCATCAACAACCTGGACGTTCACTCAGAGACCCCATCTGAAAGACAACAACTAAAAATATGGGAAGAAACTAGCACACAAAGGATGAAAACACCCAAAACCAGAATGCCTATCCTCCGACAAGGGATCACTCCTCACCAGCAAGGGAACAAGGCTGGATGGAGAATGAGTGTGATGAATTGACAGAAACAGGCTTCAGAAGGTGGGTAATAAGAAACTTCTCTGAGCTAAAAGAACATGTTTTAACCCAATGCAAGGAAACTAAGAACTTGAAAAAAGGTTTGACGAAATGCTAACAAGAATAAATAGCTTAGAGAGGAAGATAAGTGAACTGATGGAGCTAAAAAACAACACGAGAACTTCGTGAAACATATACAAGTTTCAACATCCAAACTGACCAAGAAGAAAAAACGATATCAGAGGTGAAGATCAACTCAATGAAATAAAATGAGAAGGCAATATTAGAGAAAAAAGAGTAAAACAAAATGAAAAGAATCTCCAAGAAATATGGGACTATGTGAAAAGACCTAATCTACATTTGATAGGTGTACCTGAATGTGACAGAGAGAATGAATCCAAGCTGGAAAATACTCTTCAGGATATTATCCAGGAAAACTTCCCCAACCTAGCAAGGCAGGCCAATATTCAAGTCCAGGAAATACAGACAACACCACAAAGATATTCCTCAAGAAGAGCAACCCCAAGGCACATAATCGTCAGATTCACCAGGGTTGAAATGAAGGAGAAAATGCTAAGGGCAGCCAGAGAGAAAGGTCAAATTACCCACATATGGAAGCCCATCAGACTCACAGTGGATCTCTCAGCAGAAACCCTAAAAGCCAGAAGAGAGTGGGGGGCCAATATTCAACATCCTTAAAGAAAAGAACTTTAAACCCATAATTTCATATCCAGCCAAACTAAGTTTCATAAGCAAAGGAGAAACAAAATCCTTTGTGAACAAGCAAGTACTCAGAGATTTCATCACCAGCAGGCCTGCTTTACAAGAGTTCCTGACAGAAGCACTAAACATAGAAAGGAAAAACCAGTACCAACCACTCCAAAAATGTACCAAATGGTAAAGAGCATCGACACAATGAAGAAACTGCCTAAACTAATGGGCAAAAGAGCCAGCTAGAATCAAAATGGTAGGATCAAATTCACAGATAACAATATTAACCCTAAATGTAAATGGGCTAAATGCCCAAATCAAAAGACACAGACTGTCAAATTGGCTAAAAAGCAAAACCTATTGGTGTGCTGTATCCAGGAAACCCATCTCACATGCAAGGATACACAAAGGCTCAAAATAAAGGGATGGAGGAAGATTTACCAAGCAAATGGAGAGCAAAAAAAAGCAGGAGTTGCAATTCTCATCTCGGATAAAATAGACTTTAAAACAACAAAGATCAAAAGAGACAAAGAAGGATATTATATAATGGTAAGAGGATCAGTGCAACAAGAAGAGCTAACAATCCTAAATATATACGCACCCAATACAAGAGCACCCACATACA